TGATCTATGGAATTCTCAACCACTTGCTGTGCATTTTGGGGCACGTTAAAAGTCAGGTTTTCATGTGGTTGGTCATCTGCTGAACTGTCTCTCACTATGTCTTCCATAGCAGATTGTGGCACATCTGTTTGTATCCGTTGCTCAACAATTGAAATAGGCATTTGATCTGCCAGGATGTTCTGTGGTAATACAGATCTTGGAGATGAAACTAAGCTGGCAGAAAATTGTTCCATCACCAATCTTGGGTTTAGAGCCATTGCAATAGAACCACCAAATCCTTGTTTCACTCCAGAAACATTATCTTCTGTAACATTCTGATCATCTATACCATCTGAAACAGAATTCAAGTCGTCTCTATTTTGAACTATATTTGGTGCATCCCCAGTGTTATGCTCAGTTAAGTTTCGAGTATCTTCTTCAATATACTTTGAAGGTTGGCTCTCCTCCATCTCCTTTCCAGTTTCCATAGTGTTTTTAGACTCACAAGATGTTTCTAAATTCCCTTGCCTGAACTCACTGGAATCTAAATTGATTTCATCAGCTGGTTGTCTCACCTCCCCCACAGCTGCAGTTTTAATCAATATTTGGGCTTCGTTGTCTTTGTTTTCAGATGGTTTCGAGTCTAAAGTGTAAACATCTCCATGAGTTACGGGCTTCACACTACAAATGATGTTAAAGTCTTCTGTAGGAGGTTCAATAAATTGCTGTTGGAAGGCCAAAGTTGCAATAGGTTAGTTTAATAATTTCCTGATATTTTAGAAACCAGCAAATAAAGGTAAAAAAGTATATGTAATAACATCCATAAATGATTAATATATTTTTATTTTGCTAAATTTGCAAATAAAGAAGGTAAGCCTAAATAGTAACTGGATACACAGAAAAGGAGGACAAATTTGATCTCATCTCATTTGAACCACTCAAAGTTCAAACTGTTAGGTTTGCTTTCATTTTAACAGTCTCAATAGAGCAGAAGAGTAGGGGAACAACTAACTGACCTCTGGCTTCTCGAAACAAGATTCAGAAGGTGAATGAACCACTGACTTCTCCATCAAAGGCATAGCTTTCCCTGGATTTTCAGGTGATAGTGTCTCTGAAACATTGAAAGTCTTGAATCCCTCAACTTCTTCATGTATTTGTTTCACATCTTCGGGAGTTTCATGGTTTCTGTTTATCGGATGGGATGGACCATTTTCAGTTATATCTATTCTTGAAGATACTGAACTTGTGTTACTCAAATTTTGCTTGGTCTCCTGTTCAGATGGAGAGGGTGAAGCAATTGGCTCCTCAGGTTTCCTGTTTAAACCTGAAAACTCTACTTCAACAGAATTCTCTTCACTAATATCATGTAATTCTCTCAGTTTCACTCGATTTGCCTCTGATCTTGATAGGTTAAATGAACCTCCCCACAATTCTTCACTGTCAGAATTGATATCCCTGTCAACATCCCCATCATAGGTAACTGAATCACCATCAACAGATGAAATTGTTCCATCGGATGTTAATGGAGGTGAACCAACTTCCGATACCTCAACTTGCAAGTCAGAAGCTATGGAACAGGTAGGTGTATGGCCATATCGCCTATTTGCGAGAAATAAACTAATGTCTGTCCTACGCTTCTCAGATGGAGATGGGCTGGAATCATAGGGAAGTCTACTCACAGTTTTCCCCCTAGGAGGAATTGAAAGATTAAGGGTCTTTTGCACATGATCACTAAGTATCTGTGGAGGTTTACTTGTTTGATCTAAGATCAATTCATCATTGGCTTCAGATGAAGATGAGTAGCCGGAATCATTGTTTCTTATGGAATCTGTCTCCATTCTGACTACACTTCCTCTATCTAATCCTGACTCCAGATCATGGGGGTTTTTCACCTTCCCTCCTATTCCAATCCTATTGTTCGCACTTTCTATAGTCTCTGCATGTCTCACTTCTGAAGAGTTTATTGCCTCATTGTGGTTGGAGTCTTCTAGTTCAACAAGATCAGTAGTACTTCCTACACCAGAGGAATTATGCTGGTGGAGACCTCCTTTTTCTGAAAAGGGGAAGTGTTAAATTATTCCATTAGATAGCAGAAGAATAAGTGAGTTGAAAAGTTAGGAACTAGTGTAAATGGAAAAGGAAAACTTCTATATAGAATGTGGAGTAATTACATTGAATTAGTAACTAGGATACTGAGAGATATGATGGTTAAAAGGCTATGGACTTCACAGAGGGCAAAATTGAGTTTAACTGCCCGATCAAACTTTGTCCTGAATATTTTCATTCACCTTATCTGTAGTCTACTCAATGTCCTTGTTTTTTACACAGTTTTAGAGCGGGTCATTAGGAAATTTTTTCTGTGGAATGGGTATATACAGAATTCCATATCCTGAAAGGTAAACTTGAGTGGGGGAGAATGGCGTAAAGAATTTGATTATGTGCCTCAAAGGTTTGAAACATTCTGTCACAGTGCTCCTGTTAACCATTTCCTTTGTTTCAAATCCCCATTTTAAGTTTCATTCAAACCCAAGTTAATTCAACTTGAAAGAACATATTGGTTTAGGTTTTAACATAGAAAAAGGTTCAGCTTTGGATAAGTAAAGCAAGAAATGGATCTCTAGAGCTTATCCAAATAAAACAAGGATCTCTACAGTGGAACACATACTGAGTTTTTTATCTAGTGCTTACCTGACTGCCTTTTGAATCTAGAAACTGCTCGACCCTCCCCTGGTCGTTTCTCAGTACTCCAATAGGGGTTAAACTGTTCATCTCCTGGATCTTGAGTGGTTTCCAATGTAAACAAAGGTCCGTGACAGAAGCTCTCATGCCTGCAGAGAAGCATTTCCTTTTGGTTGGCTGCCATGAATTCTTGGTGAAAACTATCTGCCATAAGATTTGGTTTTTCTTCAAGTGGGTCATAAGGTAGGTCAAATGGATTCTTTGCAGGCAACAAGATGGAAGGGGCAGAACCAGGCATTTGTAATCCTTCTTCATTGGGATTAGAAACACCCAGAAGGTTGTTTTTAACAGTTAGAATTGGAGCAATTTGACTAAGGGGATTACCATCCCTCTCCACCACGGTTTTCTCAACTGCCATCTTGAACAATTTTCTAGCTCTTCGTTTTGCAATTAAACTTTCCAGCCTTTTGTTTCTTTCCAACTCAGAAAAACCAAGATCCATAAGATTCTTCTGATCATCATCCGTCCATTCCACAGCCTTGTTTCCATCTTCTTGAACCTCTTCCTCATCCTCATCCTCCCCGTCTTCCAAGCTTTCTACCTCTACCTCAACACCACCACAGTCAGGACCTTTTCCTAACTGCCCTTGAAAGCTATCACCCGACACGCTATGACGTTTCGATGTCGAACTCGGATCATCAACTGCTCGATCATTTCCACCATCATTGTGGGAGGAACTCTCTCCATGTTCCATACTAGAATTCCCTTTCCCCTCGAAGATCGATATCGGGTTTTCTTCCAAGAAATTAGTTTTACTAAGCAGACTGTCATAATGACTTGTTGGAAAAAATATGTTCCTATCCTCACTATCTTCTCTATCCCATTCTACGACCTCCTTTCTAGCATTTCTTCTTACACTTTTCTGGGGTCGTAATGAAGGATCGTTTGATCTATTTACATTAGCTGATGGTCTCTCACTGTCTTGTTTCTTAATCCATTGGAAATATTCAGGATATTTGGTTTTCAAATAGAATCGGATGGAAACAACAGTGCAGACAAGGATAGGAGAAGAATACATCAAAAAGTAGAAAACAGAAGGAAAAATTATGTACAGGAAGAAAACAAAGCTAAGAACACCTGAAACGAGTGGATATTTCCTGACAAATTTATAGCAACAATTCCCAGAAAATCTAATGATTCTCCAGAGAAGAAGTCGAATGCCCTTTGCATCCATACTCATCTTTATCTCCTATCTAATCTTCAGAAAACAAAACAATAAAACAACCAAACTGGGTATAAACAATCTACTACACCTACTCAAATGTTAAGAAAATGACTGAAGATTTCCAGCTGAAAACCTGCATCCGAAACCTAATGGAAAATCAATTATTCTTTTTTGTTCAGTAAAAACAGAAAGCAAGTAAAACAGAGGTCAGGGAGTGGTTTTTGGATTTGGGGTTTTCATGGTGGATACCTCATCTGAGATCCTCTAATTTAGGACTTCCTCTGCCATTTCTTTTTTCTCTTCCCCTGATTCATGGGGGACAATATAGGACAAAATAGAAAACAGCTACACGAGGAAGTGGCGGTTAATATTGCATTGAACTCTTTAAAGAATGTCTATTTTAGTCATATGTCCTCGGATTTCTACACAATTTACTCAACTCACCTGTACTTTTCTCTTATTTGCAATATTAGTCCCTTTTTGGTTTTAGGAAGGAAAATATAGATTTAAAAAAAAAAACTTAAATTTCATCTCAATGTTATATGATTTCATGAATCATTATATGTTAATATCAATCTCACTTGGATTTATATTTTTGGGTTATAAACTAATGAGTAACTCAAATAATTCAACATTTTTTTCATGATAAGCCCCAAATAATACAACATAAAAGAAACAAATTATTAAATAAAAAACAAAATTAAGGTATCCACGTTGTTATGACTTTTTTTATTGTGAAACATATGAGTTTATATTTTGATATACTATCAGTGTAATAAATTTTATATACCATTCATGAATCAAATTTTGACACATCATTAATAAATTAAAAAAATTAAAAATTTTTAAAAATAAATACTTATAATTTTAAAATGTTTATTTTGACATACTTTAAAATTTTTAACATTATATATTGATGGCATGATGTTGTATAATTAAGTAATAATGTATGTATAACTATAATTAAGTAATAATGTATTTATTAGACATTGACAATAAATTAAATACAAATCTCAAAATATTCTTACCTTTTTGTCAATTTTTTATTCATGAAAAATAAATTTTGAATTTTAATAAACCAAAGTTCATTTGGTCATTTCAACTCATAGTTATATCAATAAATAAATTAATATAATTTATTAAAATATTATTTATAATTTTTTATTTTAAAAAATAATAAAATAAATTATTTTCACATATTAAAATTAAAATTTAATCTCATATAATTTTAAACTTTAAAATAAAATTTAAATAAATTATAAATTATAACTCACGATCTCATCTTAGAAACATGTTATTCATTTTTACAATATAAACTTTAAAATAAAATTTAAATAAACTTATAAATAATAAATTTATATTTTTAATTTAAAATATATATAATAAATAATAAAAAACTTATGTTTATATATTTAAAATTTATTTTATTTTTTATTAATATAAAATTTATATCGGTACGTGTGTGTAAGTGTATCTGTTTTGATTAGTCGGCAGCCCAACCATCACATCATTTGGACAGATCGCAGCTCTAAATTAAAGCCCAAATAAACTAAAAACGAAAAAAAAAAATCGAAAGCTAGGGCCTTATGTGACCAAGCGAGTGGTCACCAATCAGCGCCAGGCATGTGGTCACAGCTCAATCTACTGCATCTTCCAACCCACTGATTCCACGTGTAAAGATCAGAAAAACTCTATGTAATCCTCGACGCACCCAATCTTCACTCCTTTGCTCCCGATAATCCCAAAATGGGGAACTCGACGGTCAAGAGACCACGGTTTCTTATAATCTAACGGCTCAAATTCTGCCATAATTATCTCTTTCGCATATGCTCCCTGTTCTTGTCTCTCTCTCTATGAAATTCTGCACAGCGCACACAAAAAGCGGGGACCTAAAAAAAAAGCAAAATAAAAATCTTTGAGATATAAAATAATTTCTATTTTCAATTTAGATTTTGAAAGGATTTTTTTTTTCTTTTTCCTGATTTCCTAGGGTTCCCCAAATGTCATCGATTGAGTTTCTACGACCGACGACGATAACAATCCTCAATAAATTCAGCACCAATTCTTACTCTAATCTTCTTTATCTACATGGATTAAACTTCTCCACCAATCGATTTAGAGTTTTGCAGCAAGCACGAACCGTTTCCTCCCCAATTCAATCAACTTCCTCTGCATAACGGCACCGTTTTGAGAAACCACGAACGGTTCAATCTTTACGGAGGAGGTGAATTAAGGTTCAAAGACAGCAAAATTTTGGCTAATTGTACAGATAGCGGCGATTCGAAGGCGAGTTCCAGCGAGAATAATGAAAGCGAAGGTGGCAAAGGAGTGAAGCAGAAACAGAATCCGCAAAATTCGGGTGGTTCGACCAATCAGAGACGAGAAAAGAGCGGAAAAAGCGGGCTTTGGTGGTCCAAAGGAAAGAAATGGCGTTGGCAACCGATAATTCAAGCTCAAGAAGTCGGTGTTTTGCTTTTACAGTTAGGTATTGTTATGTTCGTTATGCGGTTGCTCCGACCTGGGATTCCATTACCCGGGTCCGAGCCCAGGACTCCAACGACTTTCCTCAGCGTTCCTTACAGTGAGTTTTTGAGTAAGATTAATAGTAATCAAGTTCAGAAAGTGGAAGTGGATGGGGTTCATATAATGTTTAAATTGAAGAGCGAAGGGAGTGTTCAAGAGAGTGAAATTGGTGGTGTTAGTAATAGTAAGTTACAAGAGTCAGAGTCATTGTTGAGGAGCGTGGCGCCTACCAAGAGAATTGTGTATACAACCACACGGCCGAGTGATATCAAGACTCCATATGAGAAAATGCTGGAAAATGATGTGGAGTTCGGGTCTCCAGATAAGCGGTCTGGTGGATTCTTGAACTCTGCATTGGTAAGTTGTGGTATTTCTTGTTTTTTGTTATGTAAATTGGGCAGAAGTAGTTTAATTTGCTTGTTTTTGAAGTTTTTTGAGTATGCTTAATGATAACCATCTGAATTGTCTTGGTTATGTTGGTGAAGTAGTTTTTTGGCTGTAAGCTGCCTCCTCAAATAGGATGTATTTAGATGAGGGTATATCCTCTTGCCCTCTTTGGCTTTGACTAAAAATCTCAAATAGTGATCTAATGTGCGCTCTACAATTGGGAATCTCATTCCTTTTTGAGGTGGAGGGAATATAAAGCTTGTAGTTGGTGTAACTAAGATTGGTTATAATATTGTGACTAAAATGTCTTCACTTACATGTTGTAAATAATATATCAGTAATATCTGGATGTCTTATTGCTGGATATCGATTATCTAGAAATATATCGTGTTGTCTTTGACCCCTCAAACCAAATGTAGCCTAGGTATCAGTTTGCTCAGGTTAGTCTTCAGTGACTAGCGAAGGAGGGTAGTATGATGAGAAAGTTGGTGATTAGAAAGGGCTAAGCGTGTTGTAGCACTGGTTAAATTGCAGTTGGCATCCTAAAGATTGTTTGTTTGAGGGAAGATGATAGGCAGCCCTTCAAAAGCTTCTAAACTCGTAATTGAGATACGAACCTTCCCATGGCTTTTTCTGAATCATGTGTTCTTATACATCGGAGATGTGGAGTTTTATATTTTTGACTTGTTTTCTTTTGCAGATAGCTTTGTTCTATGTTGCTGTCCTTGCGGGACTTCTCCATCGATTCCCTGTGAGCTTTTCTCAGGTGTGGATTTGCTTGTAAGTTTTTGAGTACCTTAATGTCTGTGTTGCATGGATAGGTTCTGATTTGAGTCATGCATTTATGCAGCACACACCTGGTCAGATTAGGAATCGCAAGTCTGGTGGTTCGGGGGCTTCAAAGGTGTCTGAGCAAGGTGAAACAATCACTTTTGCTGATGTTGCCGGTGTTGATGAGGCCAAGGAAGAGCTAGAAGAAATTGTGGTATGTAGAAAACTCCTCTAATCTAATTTTCAAAAAAAAATCTTCTACTTCATGTGCGACTAACAATTGATATTTTGTAGTAAATCCCTCCTTTGAATCAAACCATAGCCTTTATAAGCTGATGTTTTCTGCCCAGGAATTTCTTAGGAATCCGGACAGGTATATACGACTTGGTGCTCGCCCTCCCCGAGGAGTTCTCCTGGTGAGTTGATATTAGATACAATTAAGCATTCCGGCCTTTCAAAAAAAAAAAAATTGGTGTACTTCCTGATGTTGAAGAAGCTTTTAGTCTAGGAAGTAATGGGCTACTTGCAAAACTTTATTGATGTTGGAAATTGTTAGGTTAGGTTTGCTAATTCTGTCTCTTACTCTTGGGATATCTTCTCCACCAAAAATTTTCGGTCCTGTAAAGCTTTCTACTTACCATTCTTGTTATCATAAGTTCAATAAGTTCATGGATGGAAGTTCAACATGTTGAATCTTTCCGTTCAGTGCTTATTTGCCATTAGTATATGATGATTTCCTTGCATCCTTACCCTCTTATGTAAAATTAGAGATATAATTGGTACTTTGGTTTAATTTGTGTTACAGGTGGGTCTTCCTGGGACAGGTAAGACTCTTCTAGCGAAAGCTGTGGCTGGTGAAGCAGAAGTTCCATTTATAAGTTGTTCTGCCAGTGAGTTTGTTGAGTTATATGTTGGCATGGGTGCCTCTCGAGTTAGAGATCTCTTTGCACGAGCAAAGAAGGAGGCACCATCAATAATTTTTATTGATGAGGTCAGTCTATGTTCTTATTATTTGTTGGAACAATCTGTTCTGCTTTTTGATTTCTAGTAGAATTTTCTGACATCTTTCCTCATGCACAGATAGATGCCGTGGCAAAAAGTCGTGATGGTAAATTTCGCATTGTTAGCAATGATGAACGAGAGCAAACTTTGAATCAATTGCTCACTGTAAGTCTCCCTGCATCATAATTTTTCTGCTGCTTAGACATCTTGGCCATTCCCTTCTGAAGCTAATATTTTGGAACTACATTACAGGAGATGGATGGATTTGACAGCAATTCCGCTGTGATTGTTCTTGGAGCTACAAATCGTTCTGATGTCTTGGATCCTGCCCTTCGTCGACCTGGGAGATTTGATCGTGTTGTTATGGTTTGTATGATGTGTTGTATTTGAATTGACTCTCTGAATTTTTTAATCTGCTATATGGAGCAGTTCCCTCTTGCTTAACAGTTATCTCAAGGATATTATATCTCATATGATTGCCAGGTAGAGACCCCTGACAGGATCGGAAGAGAATCAATTTTGAAAGTACATGTTTCTAAGAAGGAACTTCCCCTTGGAGAGGATGTTGATCTTGGTGACATTGCCACTATGACTACTGGTTTTACTGGGTATTTTCTCTTTTACTTTGTCACATTTAAATGCCACTGCTTTCCTATCCTCCTCCTCTAGCCTCCCTTTCCAGTAAACTTTTATTTGTTCTTGATACGGTAACTATATGATTTTTTATATTTTGCAGGGCTGACCTTGCAAATCTGGTAAATGAAGCTGCTTTGCTCGCTGGAAGAAACAACAAAATTGTTGTAGAGAGAATTGATTTCATTCAGGCAGTAGAGCGAGCAATAGCTGTAACTATCTCTCTCTCTTTCTCTCTCTGAGTGCTTTTTTGTATGTGTTTTTCTTAATAGTTTTCCTGTTGTTATTAATTCACACATATTACATTTGACCATTTCCTTCCCACCTGTTTTTTAAAAATTTATCTCACATTTTTCCTTGCCTTGAAAGTTGAGTTTTAATTATTACTTCCTTTATCCAATATTGTTAGGCAATCTTCTCATCTAGTTCTAGGTTTTAATTATTGGTTTGACTGTATACCATACAAATTCATACCTTAAAATACAAAATACAATAAAAAATTGAGGGCAAAGTGTATTATCATGCAATGCATTTGTACTACTTTTTGCACTTTCTGATGAGTATATCATTAGGGATACAGGGAATACTGTATAGACTTTTGACCAATGTGCTGTGGTTTACACAATTCCTGCATATACATCTCTGTCACAAAATGTGTAATTGTGCTAAAGAGTTATCAGTAGACATTGAATTGCAAGTTGATTGACAAAAAGAATTATATTTCATAGGGCATAGAGAAGAAAACGGCCAAGTTAAAGGGAAGTGAGAGGGCTGTAGTTGCAAGGCATGAAGCTGGTCATGCAGTAGTAGGTACAGCTGTTGCAAACCTTCTTTCTGGACAGCCACGTGTTGAGGTAAATTGCAGCAATATTTTACTGAATGTGACTCAGTGTAATTCTCTATTTGTTTATTCATACGTTCTTGTTACGTCAGTATAAAATTTGAAAATGATAAAAGAAAAGTATGACATTTGAATTTGGAATCTTAACTCGTGGTTGTGTAGAATTTGGTTTAGGAGATTGCATGCAGTGTTCATGTGGTGTGACAGAGATGGTCACAGTGCAATCATTTCTATTGGGTCTTTATTTAGAAGATGATTGACGTAATTTAGTTATTGCCCTTCCAAATTGTTAGTTTCTCTATTGAGTTAAAAAGGCTAAGGCAAGACCTCAGTAAAAGGCTATGCATTTTGTTCTCTAGGATGGATCAACTTCGACATCCATTAATGGATGCAAAAATGGAGTCTCCAGCATATGGTGCCTGAGTTGACTTTCATTTTAGAAACTTTTAATATGTTAAAAGACCTGTTTTTCTGTTTACTGCTTTTTTTTGGGGCATGGGAAATTGTAATGTTCGTACATAATTCCAACCTCGGGAACAGTAGTATAGTGCCTTCAAAGTTTCTTAAGCAATGATTCAAAATATTAAAATAGAAATGGAGTATTAGGTTTCTTCACATTTTATGGAATTTTTTTTTCAGTACACGTGAAGGTCCACTTGGCCTTCGCCTTGGCCTACACAGGGAATTCTGAATTGTAAATTTCAATTATTAATGTTGGGGTGTGCCATGGAGACACTATTGTCCTACAATGGACTTAAATCATCCCAACTGCTTATGTTCACATGAAATTGATAATATGGTGCTAAACTATCTCATCCATGTTGACAGAAACTGAGCATATTGCCAAGATCAGGAGGAGCACTGGGCTTTACGTATTCTCCTCCTACTAATGAGGATAGATATTTACTCTTCATTGATGAGTTACGTGGCCGTTTGGTTACGCTTCTTGGTGGACGTGCTGCAGAGGAAGTTGTTTATTCAGGTCGTGTTTCTACCGGTGCGCTTGATGATATTCGGCGGGCAACAGACATGGCATACAAGGCAGTGGCTGAATATGGTCTTAATCAGACTATTGGCCCTCTGTCCTTAGCTACACTTTCTGGTGGAGGCATGGATGAATCCGGGGGGGCAGTTCCTTGGGGACGAGATCAGGTCCCTTTTTACTCTTTAATAGGTTTAGTTTATCCTTTTTGTTTTCAATTCCTAGACTATCTGTAATGAAGACTGATCCAGAGTGGAACATATAGGGACATCTTGTTGATCTTGTTCAAAGAGAGGTGAAAGCATTATTACAGTCTGCCTTGGAAGTAGCCCTTTCTGTTGTACGTGCTAATCCAACTGTTCTGGAGGGGCTTGGTGCCCACCTCGAAGGTAATCTGCTGTTTCTATCTGTTTCATATGTTAAAATTCTCAACATCCTATTCTTTTTTCATTTTTGCATCGTATGCGTTCTTGTTTTGTTATGGGCATTGTCAGATCTTTCTGAACCTAAAATCTAATGGAATTATAAGGGATGGAACAGGTAGTTGATTGCCAAAATTGTATTATGTAAAGGCCTCCACCATTAAGTTGTATTAGTATTTTCCTGACACCCTTTTCCTGTTTTCTGTTTAGGGAATAATATAGAGAAAACTTTTAGCTTTATGTTTTTTCTTCTATCTTGTGTCCCTACTCACAATTTTTTGAGCATTATGTTGTTGGTTTCAAGTACAAGTTTCAAAGCAAACTTGTTTTTGCTGTATGATAAATAAGTTTTGCTATCTCCACAATGTTCCTCGACAAACTGTTCTGCTGTACTTGTTAGATCTTTAATGCTATTCTATTGTTTTAGTTAATTTATCTTAGCACCGATGGGCTCTTGTATCCTAGTCTAGATAACATGCACCTTTTAGACAGTTTGAATCTAGTTGTGAAGTAGATATACTGTATCTTTAAGAAGGGAAAAGAGAACAAATTATCCCTTTACTTCATATTGTGGTCTAACACTTGCTTTTATTCAGAAAATGAGAAAGTAGAAGGTGAAGAGTTACAAGAATGGTTGAAATTGGTTGTTGCACCAAAGGAACTAACAATCTTCGTTGGAGGCAAACAAGAGTCTCTTCTGCCGCTGCAAGCAGGCTCTGGATAAGTGCTTTTGCTCACTGCTGTCAACCACGAGCAAAGCATGTAGTCCACTAAAGCTTTCTTCATGCCATGACCTTGTCAATGAGCATGTCCTGGTGACTGGCATCATCTCCCTTGCACATTTTTGTATATTTCAGCAAGGTGAATTTTGGCTTTATTTTATCATTAACCCTACCAAGCCTTTTCATTGTTATATCTCACTACACTTACCAGAGGAAAACGTAGAAAAAGAAGTGGTAAAGCTGAAGATATATTTCGTTGAAGAGCTTCAAGCTGGTCTCCCCATCCTCGACATTATGTTGATAAGTGCGGGTTAGTCTCCAACGACTGTTCTGTTGTACATTGGCTATTATTTCCGTCGAAACAGTTCTAGCCGGTGGGCAAGTGTAACAGTAATTGAGTTATACGCGTAATTATTCTGTGAAATATAACATTATTGCACATAAATATGCTGGGTTCAAAAAAGGTCTTCTTCAGATGAACATTGTACATATTTTGCTGTACATGCTGTTTATAATAGTTTCCCCACATGGAACTTGAAAGCATCCTTTTGGAGCATTGACATGAGACTGAATGCACAATTCCTACGTCCAGGTGTTCTCAAACTTTTAACTGATTTATTCTGATTTTAGTTAGGAATGCATTTCTGCACGGTTGCTGCTGTTATTTCCTGACTTTGTTTTCTTTGGTTTTGAGAAAAAGAAAAGTTGAAGTTCTTACAAAGGACACGGAAAGGCAACATGTAATTCAGACATTAGCTGTCAAAAGAAGAAGGAAGGGTGTTTAATGAGTTGAGGTTTGATATTTTAGAACCAAAGCGAAATATCACAGTCTCTTTCAGATTACGACCGTTCCTTGCGTCCACTTTCTCGGGAAACAAACAAGAAGAGGTACACTTGACCTGTCGGCATTTCTCTCAATAGGATGGACCACAGCTCAATCATCTGTCGTCCTTATATCTTCCTCAAATTCCCTATCCTTTAATCAGTCCTTAACTAAATTTCGAAATTAAAATAGTATTGATTACTAATCATTTAAATCTCAAAATTGGGCAGGAAAGAATTAGAATAAAAAAATCGATCTAATTGGGTAGGCTCCAAAAGTCGACACGTAAGACTAAACATTAACCGAAAAACAACCAGCACGAGATATCAGCCGTAGATAAGTTTTCACAAGATGCATCACGGGTTCCTTCATGGGCATGTCGAGCAATCTCGAGCTTTGTTGCCAAAATAGACTGCAAAATATCTGATAGGTCCACGTAAGCATGCGCTTTTGGTGGCCTTTTCGAGAAACGTTCCGCTCTATGTATGGTAGAAGCCGCTGAACGCACTCACTGAGGAGCTTTCTCTACTTCAGAGAATTCTTAGAAGATAAGGCCAATCCTCTTTCCTTTTTCCAGGTTCTTCCTCTCTCTTTTCTCGTCACTGTGTGCTCAACTTTCCTTTTCTTTTTTGGTTCTTGCGAAAAGAAAGTTTTAAATATACTTGATCAGTAAGGAAGATTTATTTCCCTAAATTTTACTATAATTTTTGCATTTTTAGTCAGTTAAATATATCTGATATAATTCGGGAGATTAAAGTTATTAAATCTAAATAAACTGCTGTAAGGTAAATAAGAAATCTACTTGGAGATTTTATGTGCTTATTAATTTTTATTTGTGGAAAATGATCTTGTTACTTTAGTTCTAAAAAGATTCAAATTTCGTTCTTCTTGTTATGCTGACAAATATGAAAGATTATATAACATGAGGAATAGAATACAAAGCGAGAGGCATATGTTATTCTTAAAGCTCTGGTAAACATTTTATAGATGAAAATTGATGATTTTTACCAAAATGCATAGAAATTTGTGGTTCTCGAATCAGATTTAGGTCCATCTTGGTGTCCTTTGAGGATATTAGAAACTTGAGTAGAATTGTTTTGTTTTCCCGACTGAAAACTTTGTGAAGTTTGATATTGATGTGATTTCATAGTACAACGGAATATGATCCAATTAATTAACTTAGAAACTAGACTGATCAAAACCAAAGAAACAAATGATTACCAAATTCAAAATAAGACAAGAAATGGTAAAGAGATAACACCAACAGTATACGTGGGTTCAAGAACCAGATGCCTACATTCACAAGCACAGCAAAATAGAGATTTACTGTCAAAGATTCAACATCACAATGGTCAAGCTCACCCGAAAATCCACTTACGACTAATCTTTTATCTTTAGTCACCCTCTTAGGATTTTCATGTGTTTCTCGCTATCTTGATGGTGACTACAAAACCAAAGAACCTTTTATACTAACTTTAAGCAAACTCTAAAACTAGTATTCAGCTAAAGATAAAAGACACTAAATGGGCTTAAGAATCAAGAAATAAAACCCAACAGATATGCTGTGAAGATCTGTTAGCATTCCTGGTAATTCTAATTAAAATTTGACTTTTGTTGATTGCAAGATACAACCTTCTCTCTGTGCACTGGTTGATTAATTGTGTTAGGATGTTGCTTATGTAGTTAATTATTTGATGGTTGTCATCATTTATCAATAACTTACGACGTGCTGCACTCAATCCAGATATGGCATCGGTGCATGCTAGCTTCACATCAGTTGTATGCAAGAATGGCAACCATTCTGCTCCTACAAGGTTTCCAAGTACAACCTTTTTACCTGGCTTTGATGTGGTTGGGCGTGTTTCAACTGCTTGTAAGGAGGAAATATTCAATGCTGCCATGAATTCAGGTCCTAGAGCCACATTAACTGTTGATCCTTCAACAACCAATTCAGAGAGAAGCAAGCAGAGGAAGCATACCATCGATCCTGCTTCCCCTGATTTTATGCCGCTTCCTTCCTTTGAGGAATGTTTCCCAAAGAGCTCAAAAGAATGCAGGTTAATTTGGTTATATCTAGCTTGTTGGTTCCATTTTCTTTTCCTTTTTCTGGCAATGATTTTTAATGCATGATCTATCTTTCAGGGAAGTTATTCATGAACAATCTGGCCATGCACTCAAGGTTCCCTTTCGAAGGATCCATTTGGCTGGAGACGACCCAAACTTTGACACATATGACACTAGTGGTCCTCAAAACATCAATCCACGCATTGGTAGAGAGCTCGAATCTTATGTTTTACCTTCTTGCTCTCGTTTGAGGCTTTAATGTTATCATCTTTTTCATTTTGTTCTGCTTACACTAACTCCTCACTCTTCTATTTTTGATAAATCTAAATTGTTAGTTTGGGTCTTTACTCCAGTCTGATTTTCTTCTAGTTACGCTATCATTCTAATCCTTTTCATATTTTTGATTTGCTGATATGGTTATAGTTTTCATATCTATGTTTAAGTTAATTGCTCAGTCTTGTGCATGACATCTTTAAACAGGACTCCCTAAACTGCGCAAGGACTGGGTTGACAGACGGGAGAAGCTGGGTGCACCAAGATACACTCAGATGTACTATGCTAAGCAGGGAATCATTACCGAGGAAATGTTATTTTGTGCTACTCGTGAAAAGCTTGACCCAGAATTTGTAAGGTCAGAGGTGGCCCGAGGGAGGGCAATTATTCCTTCCAACAAGAAGCACTTAGAGCTAGAACCAATGATAGTTGGCCGAAACTTTTTGGTCAAAGTAAATGCAAATATTGGAAATTCAGCTGTTGCAAGTTCTATTGAGGAGGAAGTTTACAAGGTTCAATGGGCAACAATGTGGGGTGCTGACACTGTCATGGATCTCTCAACTGGACGCCACATTCATGAAACCCGTGAGTGGATCCTACGTAATTCTGCTGTGCCAGTTGGGACTGTGCCTATCTATCAAGCACTTGAAAAAGTGAATGGAATTGCTGAAAATCTTAGCTGGGAGGTCTTCAGGGACACCCTGATTGAGCAAGCTGAGCAGGGTGTAGATTACTTCACAATCCATGCTGGGGTACTGCTGCGATACATTCCCTTAACTGCAAAACGTATGACAGGAATCGTTTCTCGTGGAGGATCTATTCATGCAAAATGGTGCTTGGCTTACCACAAGGAGAACTTTGCTTATGAGCATTGGGATGATATACTTGATATCTGCAACCAATATGACGTGGCGCTTTCTATTGGGGATGGACTAAGACCTGGATCTATATATGATGCCAATGACACTGCTCAGTTTGCTGAGCTTTTAACTCAAGGGGAACTGACCCGAAGGGCTTGGGAAAAGGATGTACAGGTATTTCTCGTTGGAACTTACATAAGGGCCTTTTGCCTTCTGCTTATAACGATGTTCAAAAGTTTTGCTCAATTTGAAGCATATTACCGGCTCTGCATGGTTTTGGTTTTCTTATAACATCCCGTTAAACATCTACAATGTTCATATCAGCTTAATAAAGTATCAGGTTGGAATTTGAATCACTCTGTTTGAAATGAAAATGTTTGGTGCAATATTTCATGTTATGAGCAATCTCATTCAGCATTTACAATGTTGTATTCTCTAATAAGCCATCCCCTAGGTTATCCTATTTTTCCATCAGTAAGCATTTATTATTACAATAATTGTTCTTTATCTTCTGCAAAAAAATTCCTCATCTAAATGTTTTCTTCTAAATTAGGTTTGTAGCTTGCAATATGAAGTTTTCAATTTTGTGTTCCTAGGTAATGAATGAAGGACCAGGACACATCCCCATGCACAAGATTCCTGAAAATATGCAAAAGCAGCTGGAATGGTGTAATGAAGCACCTTTCTATACCCTTGGTCCTTTGACAACTGATATTGCTCCTGGATATGACCATATCACTTCTGCAATTGGTGCAGCCAACATTGGGGCTCTTGGCACCGCACTTCTCTGTTATGTAACTCCAAAGGAACACCTTGGGTTGCCAAATAGAGATGATGTGAAGGCTGGAGTAATAGCATATAAGATAGCTGCTCATGCGGCTGACTTAGCCAAAGGTCATCCACATGCTCAGGCCTGGGATGATGCATTAAGCAAGGCAAGATTTGAGTTCCGATGGATGGACCAGTTTGCTTTGTCACTGGACCCCATGACTGCCATGTCCTTCCATGATGAAACCCTGCCATCTGAAGGTGCCAAAGTGGCTCATTTTTGCTCAATGTGTGGACCAAAGTTTTGCTCAATGAAGATAACAGAGGATGTCCGAAAATATGCTGAGGAGCATGGTTATGGGAGCCCTGAGGAAGCTGTGCAACATGGGATGGATGCTATGAGTGCTGAATTCCTGGCTGCTAAGAAAACTGTCAGCGGGGAACAACATGGTGAAGTTGGTGGAGAAATTTACTTGCCAGCCAGTTACATCTCCTCCTCTGAAAGGTGAAGGTCAGTTTACTGGAGCAGTTCTTATTGAAGTTCTTGAAGGTATTGAATGCAGCACTGAATATGTTATAGTCCAATCAAATTATTTCATGGTAAAATAACTTAAATCCTTTTGAATATTCATTTTTAAGAAAAATTCAAGCACATAATCTATCTCATGGACAACAGACTGTCTCGGTCAATGTAAGATGATTAATCCCCCACAGGTTTACTCTATCTCATGGACACAAGACTGTCCCGGTCAATGTTAGATGATTAATCCCCCGCAGGTTTACTTTCTCCTATAATTATCAGCGTCCATTCCCAATGGATTTTAAGAGTTTCACTTAATGCAATTTATAGGATGTGTGATATTTGTACTATGATTATTATAAGAACTCAGATGAGTCTATCAGAAGTTTGCTTAGTTCATATGCGCTAGATATTCCATGGTTAAGCATAATTGATCCTACTGAAACTCAAAGCATGTTATCTTTTTGTACATGCATTTATCATCTTTCTCTGCCTTTATTTCCAAATCATTGTTTTTCTTCTTCCCTTGTGTGGTACGTCTCATAGAGATTGCCTTGCAGGGTCACATGAATGAGGGGAATTGCTTCAGAAATCCTTGGAGCCCTGATTATGCGTCATTAGCTCATTAATAACAGTTATATATGCAGTCTTTTACCATCATGCTTTAGGTGAGTACCAGTGTAGTTTGTTGAGTAGCGCTTAAGACATCTGTATCTGTTCTGCCTTTTCTATCGTTTAGTCTCGATAATAAAATGTTTGGACTACAACTTCCATGCACATTGAGTTTATGTTATCAATGTTGTGTTGACATAAAAACGCACCGGGGGTGCCTGTATCTGCTTTTCGCTCTTTGGCATTTTGGCCAGGATGCCATGGCAGATGAGGCTGAGAAAGTCCCTTTGAACCTGAACAGGGTAATGCCTGCGTAGGGAGTGTGCATTTTCTTTTGCCTTTTTGTCTCTTGGTTGAACAGGAAAGGAGCTCTCCCATATCCCATCAATGATTTGGGCCAAGCTGATCCATGAGGGACAGAGAGAGGCAACTTCTGACTCCCCAAGTGTTGGATATAACCGAAATTGGAAATCTTTTATGGTTTAACCAAAGAGTTCATAAAGTAGATAAACATAGTTTGATTCAAGTTTTTGACTACAAGAGGGATCTAATAAATAGAAAGAGGGGAAACGAAAAAAGAGGGAAAATGAATTTATAACATATATATAAACGAGTAAAAGAAGAATCTTTAAAAATAGAAAAAGCCTTTTTTTTTTTTTTTGCTTTTACTTTTGAAATAATTTTAATTTTATTTTTTCATTTTTGGATAATCATTCGCAGTGCACACCTCATGTCGATTCAATGCCAGCGATTATAATGGTAATAGCAATTTTATATGATTATACGAAATGTAAAGAGGTGTCTAACTGCCAATAACAAAAAGGACCTCATTTAAGTTTGTCTCGTTCGATTTAATTAAATAAATAATAAGAATTTATTTAAAATATTATAATTAATTCATAATTTTTTTTAAAAAAATATTATGTCAAAATATAAAATATTCTCAACTCTCTTCCACGCTACTCTCCCCATCTTTTGTTCTTCATCTGTAAGCGTATCCAAATCAATCATCTTTCACGTTTTTCTCTCCGTCTCTGTAAGCATGTAAATTAAAATACTTTCTCATAAACACCTTCTCAGATGCCTTGCAAAATATTAAACTTTTTTAATATATAAAAATATAAAAAAGGTTTTTGTCATCAAATACATAAAAATATAAAAATTTATTTAAATTTGTTAAATATTTTAAAATATTATATCAAATTAATATATATTATATATAATTTATCTCACTAATTACCTTAAGTTAATAATATATGGGAGAGCTCATAACTAACTACATATCTTAAAATTATTTACTAGGTTTGGGCTTTCGGTGGAGATTAAACCTTTGTTCGTCTAAAGGACAAAAGAAAACCAAATTAAGTCCATTACAATAAAGTAATATATATATATATATATATAATATGATTTTCGGAGATCTTTACACCAAAGTTTCCTTATTTTAACCCCGTTACACTTGTTAATAATTTTAACTCCAATTCTCCTAGGAGACAAGCTCAACCAAGGATAGGAAAGTAGTATGAGTGGATAACAAAACACACTTTTCACTCTCTGCGTTCCTTATTTTGCTCTTCTTTCACTGCACCACCCAGAATCCGAAGAACAGAAATGGCTACTTCAACCCCAACGCCCGCTTCGCTTTCCTTCTCCTCATCGTCCCTTTTCCTCTCTTCTTCCTCCACCAAACTCCCCCGCCTTTCTCTCTCCTTCAAAACCTCCTTAAAGCCCAACCTCTGCATTGCTTCCCAACTTTCCACAGTCCCCATTCTGTCCTTCGCCGGCGAAAAAATCGGCGAAACCTATCTCGACCTCAAGTCGGCACCACCCGAAACCGCTCGAGCCGTAGTTCACCGGGCAATCATCACGGACCAACAAAACAAGCGACGTGGCACCGCCTCCACCCTCACCCGCGGCGAAGTCCGAGGTGGTGGGAAAAAACCCTACCCCCAGAAGAAAACCGGGCGGGCCCGTCGTGGGTCTATGCGCAGCCCTCTGCGGCCCGGCGGAGGTGTTATCTTCGGGCCCAAACCTAGAGACTGGTCAATTAAAATCAACAAAAAGGAAAAGAGATTGGCGATTTCGACGGCATTATCCAGTGCTGCCCAGAACACGATAGTTGTGGAGGAATTCGGGGATAAATTTGAGAAACCGAAGACGAAAGATTTTATTGAGGCGTTGAAGAGGTGGGGATTGGACCCGAAGCAGAAATCGATGTTTTTGATGATGGAAGTGCCGGAAAATGTGAATTTGTCGAGTCGGAATATCGGGACTTTGAGAATGTTGACGCCGAGGACGCTTAATTTGTTTGATATCTTGAATTGCGATAATCTGGTGTTGACTCCGGATGCAGTGGATTATTTGAATGGAAGGTATGGGGAAGATTATGAAGGGGACACTGAAGATGATGATGATGAAGAAGAAGAAGAAGGAGGAGGTGAAGGTAAAGTTTTTTAGTTATTTATTGTTAGAGAATTATTATTAATAATGGTGCTTTAATGTATTGTTTTCTTGCATTACAAATTTTGTGTGTATGGGAATTGTTTTGAATGTGAGCATGACATGTTTAATTTTGGAAGGTGACCTGATTGTACTTGTTGGAGATTTAGAAAATAGAAATATAGATATGGTTCATGAGAATGTTTTATTGGACATACCAAATTGGTGCTCTTTCAAAATTATGTTTGATGGAGCATTATACAATGTAAATATGGAGAATGTGTAGTGTACATTGAACATATGGAAAGATGCAAAGTGAGTAGTAAGAGGTTTATTCTTCTTAGGAAAGAGCTGATATTTGCATTGTTCTTCATATGAATAACTCGTAATGAATGATCAGAAAATGAAAAATGGTCTGTGTGAAGTATTTTAACTTAAGATATGTGGTTCTTGATCGGTCTGTCTGTATTTGTGAGCTGATATAGAGATGACAGGGTGCCCCTAACTATAAATTTCTTTGTAGATCCTGCGAATTGCCTGTTTCTGTCTGTTTTCCCCTTTGTCTAAGGCATGCCAAAAGGAAACAATAATTTAATGGGCCTTTTGTGTATTGATTTTTTTTATTGCTTTTTAACATTTGCAGAGGCAGATGAGAATGCTGATGCAGCACAATGACCTCCTCTTCCCTCAGTTAACCTATAAGCCATCACATCTCGCATGGCCTGATTATTTTTCTGCTGTGCCTAAATCAACAATTCTTGCAGGCTAGTTTTGGTAAATTTTTTTAGTGTATTATTTCTGTATCTTTGCACATCTGTACAAATTTGTATCTATTTAGTTCATCAATGTTGTAACATTCTTCCAAGCATTGCTTCCTGTTTTGTTGTCCCTTTTATTGCGAATTGCTTTTTGTTATTCATTACTTTTAATAACATTAATTGGCTGCCTGCAATGGACAGGCAAGGTTAAACCTTGAATTCAAATGGGAATAATGGATAGCGTGTTGAGAGGCTAGCAATGCAAATGAACTAAAACCAGGATAATGCATTAGTTTGGATTTAGAAAATTCAGATAGCTGTTACCCAAAGAATCAGTTCTAGCCTGATTAACAAGCAGAAGTAAACTTGTCTTCAAACACCTAGTGATTGTTTGAGGTGACTATTGAGCTTCAGGTTTCTACTTTTAGTCATTTGGTGCACCAGTCTTCGGATTGGATTAATTTGAGATATCACTGTGGTTGTCTACAAGTTTTAGAGACTGGAATTGCACGAAGTACATAGTACAACAAACAGAAGGATCAACTGTAGGTAAGAGAATCCTGAAAAATTTTCTCTTTGTAGGAATCATTTTGTAGAATGTCTTCTAGTTTGTGTTATGGGGTTTTATCTTATATTTTATTCAAGTCTTTGAACTTAATGAAGCATAGGGTAAAGAAAGATAAAGAAAATCTTGAAGTAGATGTGGAATGGAAATTTAGAAGAAATGTATGTGTGTATGTGGAAGAAGGCTGCTTATGTATGTTCAATCGAAGACTTGCAATTAACCTACAGACTTCGGCCCTGTTGTTTTGTCCTCCCCTATGGAGTAGGGTAACCTGCTAGTTAGTCATATTTCTAGGTTTCTGGCTACAGAAATTGGAGTGGCAAAATAACTGAGGCTTATGGCATCGAAATAGTGAGGTCTGGATTGAAATATGCAATTGTATAGCTACCAACCATCAACAAAATTCATCAAGACCGATACCTCACTGGTCAGTTTATTAGCTGTACAAGTCTGACCACATTTGGGTACACAAAAGACAACAGAAGGAATTTATATGCAAAACTGTTTGCAACTGCTTCTCAAGCAGGTGAGTTAGAAGTACTTGCAGATGATTGATCATGGTTCTTTTGTTCTTGGCCTGGCGAGACAATAATTTTTCCAAAGGTAAGATGCAACCAAAGCTGGGACGGCCAACAGCTGGAAGAACTCTTCTTGGTAAGAGTCGAGCACTAGCTTAACAAAAAACCCAATCCATATCACAAATAAGAGCCACCTCAGGTACGGGAAAGGGATCATTGCAAGTGAAATTGTGGCAAGAGGAGCAGATAAGTGACTAATATTGCTGATAATTTTAGGGCATTTGCTGTCGCGAATTCGGCGTTTGAAATCAGTCACCGTGGCTATAACATATATTAATGTTGCAATGAAAAAGGGCGATATGAGAAGCATCCTCTTTTGTGGTACTCAAGCAACAGGAGGGGAATGAAGGCCAATATTGGGAAGCTTAAAACTGCGTGCCATGCTGCCAAGTCATGTGCGTACGCTGAAATCAAAAGAGAAAACAAAGAGCTACATGACTTGATAAAACCAACCATCATATGGCTAAAATTTATGGATAAATAATTTGATAAAGTTATTTAACTAATGCGTAAAAAGAAATACAGTTGAAAGATTTAAGGACACTGATGTTTCAAGATCAATAAGTAGATAAAAAGAAAAGAAGATATATTTACGTGGGAGGTATTTTCGTGTAAATCTTTCTCTGCTTTCCCAAGGAGAGCTTAATTTTTAGAGTACTGGAGTATGATCCGGTGTATACGGGGCAAATATAAGACACAAACATGCGATTCACACAGAGTCCATACCTCTACAATTTATATGAACAATTTTAAATTCTTTTTTAAAATACTGATCAATTTTTCTGAACATCCTTTAAAATCGATATATGGTTAAATTGGGGCTTTTTTTAAAATATATTATAGATCGGTAGGAGAGAGAATTTGTAGACTCATTGGCGCCAGAGCAACCTAGCAATTGTTGTAGAATCTAAAAAGCGCGCGAGCTAGTGTGACTTTCATACACGCCACCGTACGTGATACAGATTAACCAGTGCGTGAAACTCATCTATGCAAAGGCTTGTGCAAGGGAAGCGAGCCGTCGAGCGATTGTCTTGCAAAAAAGGATTGATAAAACTGAAATTATTTGCCGCTTGGGTTTTAATGTTTTCCAGCGCTGCTCCTGCCTACTGTCCTGTGTTGATAACTGGTGCACTGTAATGGTGTTGTTTCGCTGTCATGTATCTTGATTGAGTTTTTGCAGGCAAAACCGGCATATTGACTGAAGTTATCTCTGGCTCTAGATATATTTGTTTGCTATCGGGTATGATAGCGTTTCTGGGTAGCCAACTTATTGCAGTGTTAGGGTGATATGTCAACGGGCAAGGCTTTTTCCAGGTTTGTTGCTGCCAGTTTCGGATGCAACTATTGTAGTCTCGACTCTTAGGAAGTAGCGATCATTACTACGTGCGTATTGCTTCGCTTCTTTCGCTAGCAAAATGATTTTTAAATAATGAATATTAAAAATAAGTTTTTTACAAGAACGTAGGACGAATTTAATGTCAATCGTTGGTGAGCAAATTGATTCTAAACAGGAGAGTCAGGAGTACTTGCAGTCGCAGACGACCGATCATCATTCTTTTCTTGCTTGTTCCAAAGGTAAGATGCACCCGAAGCTAGCGGCTGGAAGAGCTCCAAGTACGCGTCAAGCGAGAGCTTAACACAGAAACCGATCCATATCACAAACAAGAACCAGCCCAGGTACGGGAAAAGGATCGTCACGAGTGAAATCGCGGCAAGAGAAGCAGATAAGTAACTGACATTGCTTATAACGTTGGGGCATTCGACACCACGAATTCGGAGTCTAAGTTCGGTCACCATGGCTGCAACATATGTCAATGTAGCAATGCAGAAGACCAGCATGATGATGCTGTTGCCGTCATCGAAAGGAGAAGCATCGGGGTCACGGTACTTGAGCAACAGAAAGGGCATGAAGGCTAATATTAAGAAGCCTAAAATTGCATGCCTTGCTGCCATGTCACCTGTGCTGAAGAAAACAAAGGAGCTGCTGCTTCAGATTGCATCACTTGACAAAACCAACCATATCTTGTCATTGTTAACGTCCAATAATTATTTGTTTTAACAAAAACTTTAATAAAAAAATAATCGTAGGAAGTGTCTCAGAGTCTTCATTTCCAAACATTTCAATTCAAAAAAATAAAGAAAAAGAAACAAAGAATACTATTTAAGTACTATACAACTCTCTAATAAAAATCAACCAATGACAAATGAGTAAAAAGAAATAAACTTTGAAAGATTTGAAGATTAATGTTTGCTAAAACTTGAACTTGATCGAACTGGTTTTAAAATAAATAAATAAGAAAGAAAAATTAAGAAAAAGAAGAAGCTTAATTACCTGGTATGCATCTTTTGGAAACTCTTTTTGGCCCCCCCCTACCCTAAAAGCACCTACAAATGTTTTCAGCTTCTCCAGTGAGAGCTTTAGAGGGTAATGAAAGGTTATTTATAGTGCATCGCACGGTAGCAAATTTTGTATTTAAAAATATCAGTTTTTATTCCAATATTAATTCTTGAAACTCAATAAAAAAGGTATTGTCACTTTCATAAAATAAAGCCTTGATCAAATCAAAACCGTGCACATAAGTCACGTCTGCCTACCACACATGTATCATTTATTTCTACAAATAAGATATTGATAGCTTTCTTATTTAATATAATATAGTTTGAGTTTTGTTAATTAAAGAAAAGCAAGTTGTGCCTTTATGCTAACAGACTCACTCAGTTTGACTCTTGATGAGAAACTCGCTCTATCGGTTTCGTTTGCCTTTGAGCGTTGAGCATGTGCGTATCAAAGCACACATAGAGAAACTTTGTTGATCTTTGCAGACTCCTAATTCAGCTCAATTAACAAAGAATAATACGTATCACGATTGGTGACAATGACAAAGGGATTAATATCATTACCAATTTTATTTTTGAAAAGAATATTATATACAAGCAAGAAGATTTGTATAGTTTCATGGCCCACGAATCCCTCGATAAGCATATCATGGTGGTCAAAATTAAGCTGTCAGATTGATTAAGAATATTTTATAGTTTAATCTCCACACTTGGATCTTCTAGAATCTTATAAAATCAAATTTGATTTTTTATTACACAATGCTAATTTTATATATAAATAAAACGTGTTGAGACATATACTCAAGCAACTAAATTATTAATATTATATTTAGTATATTGGATATTGAATTTAAATCGGTCACACTAGAAGATGTCGATAGATGATATAACAAATATTTTATTTTGAAATGTTAGGTCCAAAACTATTAGTTGAGCACAATGACGTTTAAAGTTAAAAAAAGAAAAACAATTTTGGTGGCTTAGTTTATTTACATGATTTTACTAAATTGGGTTTAAATATTACATGTGATTTTAAAAATTATAAATAAAAACAAAATTAGAAGATTAATTCTCATCATTGGAGAGTTGAATAAATTAATGAAATTTTATTACAAAAAGATTTTAAGGACAAGATGAATCATAATTTTTTGAACGTATAAAACTGACGCTCTCTGGCCGTACTTGGCTAAACTTATTAAATACCCACATCATATGCGTTTGCGGCTACTGAACCCAAGCCGCAAGGCACAGAGCCAGCCATGGGTGTCCTCGCCTTCCCTTCCGTCATATCCTTTCTCAAGCCCCACGCGTCCGATTGAAAGCTCCCGATGCAGATGATATCAAAGGCTGATTTTAGGGTGACTGTGTTTGAAGATTAAAAGAGTAGCAGACTTGTTACAGTCAAAGAAAATGAAAGACGTGTAGTCAGAATGTAAACTTTAGTTTTACTGTTTCATTGTTAATAATTAGTTTTAAAGTAGTTGATTAATTAGTTAGTTGATTAGGATCAACTGATTAGTTACTTGTATAAATACTCCTGTAATGACAAATTCAAGGATGAGAAAAATCATTTCCTTTACAGTGGCTTTTCGATTGTTCCTCTCATTCCTCTGTTTCATTCCTCTACTGATTTTAACATGGTTTCAGAGCACCTTTAGGTTAGAGATTTCGAGACTTTTCTAAACTCGAAGGTCTTTACTTGCTTCTGATTTATAGTTACTTAGCATCATTCATGGTGAAAATTGTTGTTGAATTTCTATTGCTATTCTTATAATCTCTAGAATCTTCATGGAAGAAAGCACAGTTAGTAAATCTGTTTTTTCTCCAGCTCAAGATCCACAATCACCTTACTTCTTACATCATTCTGATCATCTAAGATCAATTGTTATATCTCCTAAGCTCAGTATGAATAATTATGTTTCTTAGAGTAAATGCTCCCTTTTAGCAATCGTAATTAGGAATAAGTCAAGGGTTTTAAGTGGAACCATTGTTAAACCAGCTGTAATAGATCCACGTTTTGATTCATGGACAAGATGTAACAATTTAATAGTGGTCTGGTTATTACAATCAATAACTCCTCCCATAGCTTCAACTGTGTTCTACATGAATTCAGCTGCTAAAATCTAGAATACTTTGAGTAAAATTCTCACAACCTGATGACACAAGAGTACGTAATTTACAATTCACTTTGGGAAATGTATCTCAAGGAACCAGAACTGTGGATACTTATTTCATTGAATTAAAAGGAATTTGGGAAGAAATGAGGAATGACAAGCCATTACCACAATGTGAATATGGCAAATGCAATCCTAATTGCTTTAAGAAGTATTCAAACCAATATCAAAAGGATATGGTTTTTAGGTTCTTAAACGTTTTAAATGATTCTTACTTTGCTATAAGATCATAGATAATCTTGTTAGATCTTATACCTACTTTGGATAAGGCATATAGCATGGTGTTAAGGGAAGAAGCACAAAGAAATTTGTTTATACAAGGTAAACTAGTGTTAGATTCTTTTGCCATGGTAGTAGATAGATTCTTTTGCCATGGTAGTAGCATCAGATGACAAGAAGAAGTTCAAGAAAGATATCATTTGTTCTCACTGTAACAAGAAAGGACATTCAAAGGACAAGTGCTATAGATTGATAGGCTTTCTTGAAGATTTTAAGTCCAATAAAGGGAAAAATGCATATAAGAGAGATAAGTCAGTGAATAACGTGTCCATTGTTGAGGGAAAACAATCTGCTTTTGATGGAAAATAGCCTGCACAAGATGATGAGGTTACTAGAAATAGCACCATGTTTCAGATATCACTCATTAAGCAACAAGTCAACTAGCTAATGAATCTCTTAAATGAGAATGGCATTAATATTGATGATGGTAAGGAAAATTCTACATTCATTCAACAAAGCAAACACTCTTTGGTCAACTCTGCATTTGCAAGTATTATTTTTGACTTTGTCTGCTTCAGTAATTCCAACAATCTTCCATCTAAATATAGAGATGTGAATATTGTCATGATCAAGCATAATTCTTGGATAGTAGTTACAGAGGCAATAGACCATATTTCTTATTCTTTGAATAGTTTTATTTTTGTTAAACCAGTGTCTAATTGTTTTGTACAACCTCCAAATAAGTCAAGAACTTTAGTTACTCATATTAGAACTGTCAAACTTACTTCATCTCTCATAGTGAATGTTGTCTTATATGTTCCTAGTTTCAAGTTTAATCTCATTTCTATAAGTAAGCTCACTAGTTCAAAAACAAATTGTGTATGGTTTACTGATGAAATATGTGTTGTTTAGGATCTAAATTCATGCAAGGTTACTAGGGAGTCATTGCAGGATTATACTTCATGCAAGTAAATGAAGATGAAAAAAATCTGTCCAAGTATAGTTTTAATAAGGTCATTAAGTCAGTCAATATGTCTTCAGTTTTCAGCAATATAGTTACACATCCAAACTTTGATTTGTGGCATTTTCGATTAAGTCATGCACTTCTAAAAAGAATAAATGTAATTCATGAAAATTGTTCAAAAGTTCAAAGTTCAACAAGTTTACTTTGTGAAGTCTGTCTTATAGCTAAGCAAAGAAGAGTTTCATTTCTTGTTCATGTACAAGCTATTGTCAGTCCTTTAAAGATTGTACATGCTGACATATGGGGTCTTTATGAGATTCTTACTTTTTTTAGTTAAAGATATTTTTTTACTCTTGTAGATGATTTTACGAGATTCACTTAGGTATTTTTGATGAAATGCAAATCAGATGTTTCAACTATTATTTCTAATTTCAATGATCTTGTTAAAACTCAGTTTAAAGCTTGCATTAAAATCTTAAGAACTGACAATGGCAAAGAGTTTGCTCTTACTGAATTTTATGCTAGGACAGGTATTGTTCATCATTTAACTTGTGTTGCAACTCCACATCAAAATGGTAAAGTTGAGAGAAACATCACCATATTTTCGTGGTTGCTAGATCTTTATTGCATCAGTCTCATGTTCCTCTTCATTTTTAGAGATATACTATTCTCACTACTATTTATATTATTAATAGAATGCCAAGCAAAATTCTTAACGATTTAACTCCATATGAACTTTTGTATAAGTAATCACCTTCTTATGATTACCTTAGAGTTTTTGGCAGCCTCTGTTTTGTTTCCACTCTTAGTCAACATAGAAAGAAATTTGATCCGAGGGCTAGTAAATGTATATTTTTAGGTCATCCAAATGGTGTCAAAGGTTACAAGCTATATGATCTACTTGCCAACAAGGTTCTAATATCTAGGAATGTGATTGTTCATGAACATGTATTTTCATTTCTTGTTATTGGTCAAAATTTCTGTCTCCAAGACTTCTGTCCTAACCAGCAACTTATTCATTAACCCACGCATGTCCTTCTCCATGTTCTCAATTTGGTCCATCAACTTGACCAAATATACTGCAACATTGTCGAGGATATCTTCCTCTTCAGTAGCAACCCCCTTCCTAGTTTCACTTTTGAAAAATTTGGATGCCACGAGAATTTTGAGATTTTCCTTCAAGTGATTTTGATTAAAATGGATAATGGTTCTCTTTATTTATAAGCATGAATGCTGACTCTTGGAAGGGTGTTCAATGGTTTTAGGTTTGTTTTCTGATGAATATGGTTAGTTCGTAAATCAATACATTAAGTGCTTTAAAGAAAAAATCAAAGTTCTGTGTCAGTCGAATTTGGATGATTTTTTGCACCGATATAAGTGAAATTAAGAAGGTTGAATTGGTTATTAACCATTCCTAATTATCTTCTAATTTTACAAAATTGCTATTAAAGGGCTGAATTAGTAGATAATCAGCTTCAACAATAGGTAGATAAAGTAACGCAATTATTGAAAACCAGTCACGCAATGCACAACTCACGCAATTCTTAAAATCTAGTCTTGCAATGCCTCCTATCTAGTCCCACATTGTCTAATACTCAGTCACGTAATGCCAAATAAACAGGTTACGATTCCTAATATCTAGTCACACACCTTAATATCCAGTTATGCAATGCTTAACAAATATTCAC